TTTTTCCCGTGGGTACTTAACAACTTTCGAACGCGGCTGATTTTTTTTTTTTAGTTTCTGACAACAACACGACCACGGCCGGCATTCAATAATAAAAATTAAACCAAAAACAAAAAAAAACAACGAACGCGCGTTGCTTCAAAATTCGAGTTCTGAGCGCAGCGTCTAACAAAAACGAGTTATGAACATTTCCTTTGCTTAGTCGAGCCTATTTGTTATGGTGTTACAATTTGTTGCCTTCTTTGTTGTGTGAAAATACGAGCAATAGTGTAAAGTGTCGCGGCACAGAGGCTAAATTTAAACGCACAAGAAAAATCTTGTTACATTAGATGCATACTTCTTCCTCCGTTTTTTTTTGGGAAGTAAAGAAAAATTGATTTAATTATAAAAAACGGAGCAGCTCACGCGCGCGCACCAGTGTGCAAAATAGAAAGAAAATATTTTAAAAATTAATAAATCAAAATAGCAGCAGCCGCCGTAGTAATTAAGTAGCTTTAACAAGCAAACAGTGCAATTAAACGCGTGTGAGCGCAATAGCGCGCGGTGTGCGACGTCGAAAGGCGCATAACGGCAGGGCGGCGTTTTTGGTTGGTAGTAACTTTATTAAGAGTGGTGGAAGCGCGGTGCGGCATGCCGGTGGCTTATTAGAGACCACGAGTTGAGTGGCGCCGAGCCATAATAATTATAATTATATTTCCAATTACAAGAACATAACACAGTTGTATAACTGTAAAACAAGCTAGCGCATTTATTTTTCTTTATTTAAATTTTATAAAAGGAACTACGGCTTAAGAGCGCCCAGAGTTTTAGAGGCTTGCCGCGCATTAAAAAAAAAACTAGCACGGCAGCGGCGGTAGTGGTGGCGACGGCACTTAGTTCCGTTTAGTTAATAGGGCGTGCATGCGCGCGCATGTAAGTAACACGTTTTTTTTTGGAGGCCTAACACGCGCGCTACTGAGCTGCTAAGAAAAATTCGCAACGCCAAAAAAAAAAATTGTGAAATTCAAATGCGATAGATAGCAAGCATGAAAATGTAGAAAAACATAGCAAAAGTGTGTGAAAGTGTTAGTGTGTACTAATAACAAATCAAACCCGACTTCAAAATTAATGTGGTGTGCCATGATAACAAAAACTCCACACGCGAATTCTCTTCCCCTCCAACACCATTCATCCGTGCGCTCATCATCCACCTCACCACTAGCACCTCCATTGTAAGCGAATCGTTGATGCGGCTCGTCATTTGCCTCCGTTTTCCCCAATAGTTTCTTATCGCGTTGGCTGCTCTGTTGTTGCTGTTACTGCTGCCGAGTGCAGCAGTCCTGTGTGTCCAGTCCCAGCAGTCATTTAAGACGATTCCGTGCGAGCTTTTCATTCATTCACAAATCGACTGCCGAGCGCTATTGTTGTGTCGGCGCTGACTGACGCGTCGCTTGCATGTAACAATTTTATTCTCAAAGTCGCAACTCATTCATGAGACGCGCGCGCGTTCCGTCGTCATTCGCAGTGAATGCTGATTGCTAGAAGTGATTGTATGAAAAAGCAAAAAAAAAAAATAATAAAAAATATAAAACACAAATTAAAACATAATAATAAAATTAAGTATGAAAACAAATGCTTAAAAAATGAAAAACAAACAACTACAAATTGCAAATGTTTAATAAAACGCAATATTCAGTATACAATATTTGTATGTGTGTTTGTATGTACGCTCATTAAAAAATCAGCTAATCGTATATTTACCTCGTCTATATTCACTGCGAGCGCTGCAATTAACGTTTATAAAATTGATGAAATGTGCATGAGAGATTAATAACGGCATTACAATCAGCCATAAAAGTTACGAATGCGTGAAAACACAGCGAGGAACGGCTGTAAAATGTGAGTTATGTCTATATTTATTTATGATTGTTTTTTTTTTTTTAAAGTAAAATAAAGCAAAATAAAATAAAAAAGACACAATAATAATTTCAAAAAATATGAAATGGTAAAATTAAATAAATTTTAATACAAAAAATAAAATAAAAGCAAATAAAATGAAGTAAAAACAAATAAAATTAAAAAACAAACATTTAAGAAAAAATAAATCCAAAATTTTATGAATTAAAACATAATGGACTTAAAATAAAATTTTATTAAATAAAGCACAAAAACAAAAAATTAAATTTAATAAAAAATGAAAATAAAAATACTAAATAAAGTTAAATACGAAAAGAAAATACTTAATTTTGAAACGATTTAAAATTCAAATGAACATATTCAATTTGCGACTGAGCATAAATTTGTGCCCAGTTTTAATAAGATTTGTGTGATTTTTAATTAGCCAAATTTCAAATCCGAAAATAAAAGTAATTTCTGAATTGAAAGTTGCTTCAAATCCTAAATAATATAAATTTATTATTTGTTCGACGAATGAAATCAACCTCAAAAAAATTTATTTTATTTGCGATTTGATTTGTCGAGCTAATCAAACGTGATTTTCTTTTTTCTTGTAACTTACAATTTGCTAGAAAATAAAATTTAGTTTTTATCTGGTTGTTGAATCAAATCATAAATAAATTTTGTTTTTTATTTGTTCAACGATTCAAATCACAAATATTTTATTTTTTTTATTTCATCGTCTAATAAAATCGCAAATAAATAAAATTTTTTACTTGGTCGACGAATCAAATCGGAAATAAATTTTATTTCTATTTGGTTGACGAATCCAATCACAAACCAAATATATTTCTTAATTAATAGCGGATTTAAAATTAAAAAGAATTTTAAATGACGCAACCCTTGTTTTAAAGATATCAAAAATTTATTGCCACGTAAATAATATACATTGTATATCCAGTTTTCCAATGATCTAAAATGTGCATATGTCAACAAAAAAAAAAAAAAAAATCAAAAACTTTGCCCAGTTTTTCAATATCTAAATTATTACGTCCGGTTTTTAATGTAGCAAAAGTTATGTCCAATTTTAAAATTGTAGAAGTTTTTTGTGCAGTTTTTAAATAAAAAATATTATGCTCAGTCTTTA